TTAGAAGTTTAATGTTTCTAGAAACTAATTTTCAGCCATTTTCTAACAAAAAAATAAAGTTTTTTTTTTTTTTCTTATTTACAGTGTTAAATTCGTGGAAAGAATGCCCTAGAACAAATAGTAAACTGATGTGAATGCAGGCTGTCTTTGTTCTTGGTCCTGATAGATAAGGTGGATGCAGAGGTCTCAGTTCTTAATTTCAGTACCACACTGAGAACTAAATAAACAATGGTAAATGCTTTATCATCTGCTCTGTGTGGAAGGGGTAAAAAATATAAGGTTGCATTTATCTGATAGATTTTAAACTAGAAAATATGTTTTTCTTTTTGTCAGCCAAATTATAGAAAAAAGAGTTGGATAGAAATTACAGTAATGATAGTTAGGTATACTGCAGATTGAAAATACAAGCTTGGTTGTCAGGGTAGATAGGCCACAAAGTGATTCTATTCTGCTGTACATTTTCACTTAAAAAAAACTAATTGAGTTGAATGTGTGTTCAGAATAATTGGCTCTTAACTGCCAATGAGCTGAAAAGAAGAAAAGATTATTTAATCAAAGCACCCTGTAGATATGCATAATGCCATGTTTTAAGAATGCTTCAAGTACACCTGCCTTAATCTTCTCATGTTAATGCACTTTAGTCACTAATCTGACTCCCTCATATTTTATTACTTAATGTTAAACAAAATATATGGTACAACATTTAGAAATGTAGTTCCAGAATGATAGATCACTATTAATCTAGTAGATACTATTAATCTAGTAATAGAATTTTCAGAACTGGGGATTCCATGAGTGACTATAAATTAAACTGTAAAGTAGGATACATTTGAGATCCAAGACCAGATTATAAAGAGCAAGAGCAAAAAACCAACCAAACAAACAAAAAAACAAAAAGGAAAATTGATAAGGGCAGATATTAGTTGCTTTTAAAATAATTCATGTAAAAATCTTTATTAATCATTAGGCTAGAGAATTACATGTGAATTAAAAAGTTTATCCTAGTAATGCAACATTGAGAGTCTAACAGTAAAATTTGCAGGAGTGCAGATCTAAAGGTATTTAGACTTTAAATAAATTAATGTTAAGTGACCTTGTGATCCGCCTGCCTTGGCCTCCCAAAGTGCGGGGATTACAGGTGTGAGCCACCACGACTGGCCCTGTAGACTTTATCTTCTCAAACAAGCTTCACTTCCTTTGACTTTTGTTCTAAGGGTAATAATAACTAATTTTATTTCTACCACCCCTAATAACAACCCATCACTCATTTAAGATTTTTCTTTCACCCTGTGGCACTATGGTGTCACACATTTATTTTTCTCTTCTCTTGACCAGGAATCATCATTCATAATTAAAATGTTCTATGGCTTTTCTTTCTCACTAATGCCACAGACATCATCTCAATTTAAAATTCCACAGTATGCTTGTGTGATCACCCAGTGATTTCTTCCTGTCCACTGCAAAAACCAGTTCACTGAGACCTTGGTATGGCAGTAAAGGAAGAGTTTAAGTAAAATGAGATTGGCCTTGTGGGAAAACTGGAGTTATTATTCACTTTCCCTGAAGTCTTAGAGATCAGGGTTTTTCAAAGTAGGCATGGGACTAGGAAATGGTTGCTGCTGATTGGTTGGGGGGATGAAATCATAAAAGTGTGGAAAACTGTCCTCGTGCACTAAGTCTGCCTCTAAATGGGAGGTCACAGGACTGGTTGAGTTTTGTGTCCTGGTGAGGCCAGTCTGAAAATCATCTCAAAAGACTGGACGTCGGTTCTACAATAGTAATGTTACCTATAAAAGCAACTGGGGGAATTACAAATCTTGTGACCTCTGGCCACATGACTTTTGAGCAGTAAAAGATTGTAGAAACAACAGCTGCATTTTAGCAGAATTCAGGCTTTCATAATTTCAGTTTTGTGCCCTTTCATTAGTATTACAAGGGTGATTTAAACTCCTGAACAAGAAGGGGATGAGATTTAGGGAGGGACTATTAATATTTTTGTTTCAAAGGTAAACTATAAACTATATTTCATACATGGTTATTTTGGCCAATATTCAAGAATGAGTGAAGACAGCCAGCTTATGAGCCTGAAAGCAAGATGGAGCCATGTTAGATTTCTTTCACTATCATGATCTTTGCAAAGATGTTTTTGCCTGCCTCTTGGGAGAAAAACTACTTGTTTAGTATTTTGTTTTGCTCTATTTTTCTCCATGACGCAATGGAAAAGGGAAATTTATTTTCTCTGAATTTATTGAGAAAGTATTGCAGGAATTATTTTGTTAGGGTATGCTATTTGGTTCTTGCAACCCAGAATGATATGTTTATCAAAATTCAGAAGTGGTCCAGAGATGAGAATATTTAAAAAATTCAAAGAGGGAATAGAAGTTAGAACTCAAAGTTGAGGTTGGACTATTGAGTGAGCAGGAGGACAGGAGGTCAAATCAACTGGCAAGACCAAATGAGCATTACAGATGATTGGTGTTGCTATTGAGACATGATCATAAATATGGATGATGAATAAAAAGGAGAGAGAAGAGAGGAAAAGAATATAAATCAAATAAACATTTATTATTTATGTAAATCTATTATTTGTTCTGCATCAATAGAATGGACAACAGGTAGACTGGGCACAGTGGCTCACACCTATAATCCAAGCACTTTGGGAGGCCAAAGCGGGTGGATCACGAGGTCAAGAGATCAAGACCATCCCGGCCAACATGGTGAAACCCTATCTCTACTAAAATTACAAAAATTAGCCAGGTGTGGTGGTGTGCACCTGTAGTTCCAGCTACTCAGGAGGCTAGAGCAGGAGAACTGCTTGAACCTGGGAGGCAGAGGTTGCAGTAAGCTGAGATTGTGCTACTACACTCCAGTGTGGTGACAGAATGAGACTCCATCTCAAAAATAAGTAAATAAATAAACAAAAAGGACAACAGGTAAAGTTAATGATAAAACAAAAGCAAGAACTCAATTTCTTTTTAGCTGATAACAAAAGTTCAGAAGGTGATACAAGGCCTTAGTTTAGAGATAATATAGAACTATCAGTTCATACAGCCAGCCTCCGGGAGTAACTGGGAAATCCCTTCTTTATCTCCTTATGTTCATCCTTGATTAAAAGGCCATTTGTGTTTCCCTGTTTCCCCGGCTACAGTTCCAACATGTCACTGTTCCCATGTGACTAAGGTCACATGGGCCCTCTGTGTTATTTTTTTACTCTAATAGGAGGGTCATATTGGACTATGTCTTTTCAATTAGATACTGAAGAAAACAAACTCTAGTTTTGCTATTATTGCCTGCTTCTGGTCATATACATTGTAGGTGTAACAATTAATAATATTTAAATAATGAGAGAAGGGGTCAGAAAATCTTGTTCGACCAAGTGTCGGATACTTTTTCATGTGTTTTTGCTGATAATCTTCATAACTTCAAACTTCAAATGATAAAAATATTATCATTTGAAAACAGAATATATTCAAAACTACTTTTAAGTGACAATCTTCTCTTTTACCTAATATATATATATATAATATATATAAATATATTACCTTTTACCATATATATATATATATATGTTAATCTTCCTAACTCATCATCTAGTCCTTGTTTTCTAAGTTTGCAAGTGAAGACATTCAGTTTCTGAAAGAGTGTAACTTATATACGTTCATTCACAATAAGTATGAATCTAATCTCTGTTAATATCACCTTTCTTCCAAGAACGAGCAGGAGATTAGGGATGTGCAACACCATGGAAAAGGCTAGAATTAGGTAAAACTGGATAAAAATATCATTTGAAAAGAGAACATTTTCAAAACTACTTTTATGTGACAATCTCTCTTTTACCTAATGTATATATATAATATAATATATTATATTTAATATATATTATATGTATACATAATTATATATATGGTAAAAGGTAATATATTTACTTTCACCTTATATATATAATTAATATACATAATATATAAATCTATAAGGTAAAAAGTAATATACTTATATATTATATATATTAATTATACTATATATTAATATATTTACATTTATATATTATTATATATACTTATCTAATATATAATATATATAAATATATTTACCTAATAGGTAAATATATATATCTATATTACCATTTACCTATTATATAACATTTATTACATATATGATCTTTTAATATAGAATATATATTACATATTAGGTAAATGGTAATATAGATATATATATTAGGTAAAAGGTTATATATATATATATATATCCTGAGTATCCTAATATCCTGTCAGATTTTCCTCATTAGTATTCTCACTCTGAGATGTTGTTGTTTTAATTTTCTAACAAATATGGCTAAACTTACCTCAAAAATATGTAAAAGTAATTATCTGAAAGAAATGCAGTTATTTAAAAAGAAGACATAATTTTTCTAGAGTTGAAAAAGTTGATTTGTTGATATAGTAGTAGCCTCAGAGATTTTCATCTGCAATTATGCAAGCCATATAAAATACCACAGACAAAATCACAACCCGAAAGAGAATTCAAGAAGTTGCATAGAAATGCAGTGGGGGTAGAAGAATTGGATACATTAATAGGTCTGCATGAAGGTGATTCAATCTGAGGAGATTTAGAACTGTGAAGAATTACAGTCGACTGACAGCACTTTTAAGTTAAAATACTGGATCATCATCAGTAATGGCTTACTTGAGAGACTGGAGGCATCTCCCTTTGCCCATTCTTTGTCACCACAGAATGTGTAGCAGATTGCCCACATTTTAATTAACTTTCATTTGTTAAACCATGAAAATTAACCCCTTGTTCATTGAACAACAGACCATGTGTTAGGTGGGCTTCCTGATCTTTCAAGAGAATGAATGCCAAGTACAGAAATCTGCTTGGGTTGTTGAAGGCTAAAAAAGATTGTTCTAATGTGTCTGTTTATTATGCACGTCTTCTCCCCTACAGTTATTATATTACCTAGTCAAACTATTTGTCAATTGTTAATGTCTTTGTTGTTGCAGATACAGATGTGGTGTATAAAAGCGAGGATGGACATGTCATTAAACTGAATATAGAAACAAATGCTACCACATTATTATTGGAAAACACAACTTTTGTAAGTAATGAATAATTAATTACTTTATGCATTTCAGTACTGTTTAGAAAGTTCTCTAGGTGTACATAACTTTCTATTCTTCAACTCCAGCACTTGTAAACCATTTCAGGTAAAAAATTGGGGCTGGAATATCATGAGAACTGGTAAATTTATTGAAAGAAAATACCCTGTGATTGTCTGCTTCATTTTCTCCACATTTACTCTTGTTAGTAATTGGAGAAATATTTCCATAAATAGTAGTTGCTTAGAAAGAATACTTTTTCCAATATTTTATATATAACATTAGTTGTATAAATGCCAAGGTTAAAAAATGGTTAGTCTATCCTTATTTATTATTAAGTTTGTTTTCTCCTTTACTTATTATTCTTTCTGACTTCTTTCTAGTTAGGGATCATATGGAAAGGCTTTCTAAAGCTGCTATTCAGCTGCGGTTGTTGTATTTTACTTTTAGAATTTAGGATCTTATCAGTATCGTTTTTCTTCTTTTGTATCACTGCTTAGCCAACACTGTTTAAATGACTAAATATCTTTACATTGGTCATAATATGGGCTTTGTCTTTCTGAAAAATCTAGTACCCTAAGGTTAGGAGACTTAGCTATGTTTACCTATTTGGTAAGCGATAATGAATTACTATTGCAAATGTTGAAATTCTAGCTACCCAACACTAATGAAAAATAGTACACCATTATTTACTACTATTTTATTGTAATTAAAGTTTCAGTAGACTGCCAATTAGATGAATTCACATAATACAGACAAAATATAGTACAAGGTCTCAGAAAAACCTCCATAAAATGAAACAATAAGCAAAATCATTGGCTACTTTAAAAAAATGTATTCCTACTTGTACATTTAAAATAAACTTTTAATCTTCATGTTTAGTATGAAATGGCCCTATGGAAGAGATGGACTAAAAACTTCCTGTTTAATATTTTTACATATTAAGGAGAAAATGTCATTACAATTATTAAGTGATTATATATGTATATCTGTTAGGCTAAATTTAACCAGCCAAGTAATGTACATTAATAACGAGATCATCAGTGAGAAGAAAATAATGACATTTTTGTTTTTGAAGTAATTTATAGGGAATCAAAGAATAGCTATTCTGTGTGCAGCTCTTTATGTTATTCAAGGAATGTTAAGGATACATACAGCAGATGGCTTACTTTCTAAGAATGTGGAGTTTCTTTGGGTGATAATACTAACCCTTATGGAGAATTTTAATAATAGGACAGTATTTACTATTTCTTCAGTGGATGGTTCCCTGGGATACCAGGAAAGGGGCTAGGAAAATCATTGAGAAATACTCTAAATAGTGAAAAAGTAGCCCTTATTAAGAAGATAGGATAGGAGACAGAATTCAGGAATCGATAATGCTGAGAAGGTATGATAATAATATACGGATTAAAGTAAGAATGAATGGATTTTCCATAAAATTTGTTTGAAAAACAAAAATTGAGTGCATTTTAATTTTTGCTTTCCTTTTTCATAAAGTAAAATAATTTTTTGGAGCTTCTAGGCCCTCCGTAGCCAAGCATTCCGGTTATATATACTCAGTACATGAATTATTCTATTATGTGTCTGTGCCTTATTAAATACTCTTTTACATAATTCAATGAAGTTTTCCCCATCACTAATTATGTTTTTGTTTTCCATTATTTATTCATTACTTTTTAAATCTTCCATGGTACATCAAAAAAGAAAGCAAAACAAATAAAACTTTTGGATTATTATTCCATTATCTCAATTCTTTTGTTGGTACTACACACCACCACCATCTCTTATCATCATGGTTTTCTCCATGTGCTAATTAATGCTGTTTTATCTTTGTGCTTTTGTGTTATATCTTTTTAAATCCTTTTGAGTTTTCTTTCTGTTCTCCTCTATGTTGGCCATGACTCTTAATTACCACAGAGTCATATTTAGCAAATATTCGAATTTACTGGTCTTCTAAGATTCATAGGCTCCCTAAGGACTTTTATGTCACAACACAGATGATTAAGCAATTTATAAGTCCTAGAGGTATATACATTCAATATGGAGGGAGGGGTCAGGGGAGTGAAAGGGAGTATCAAGGGAGCACCAGTTACTCAAAACTGAGACCAAAAATAGGAATTACCATAATTCCAGATGATTTCAAAGGAGATTGTTTAATTGTTTTCTCCTAACTTCAAGATGGCATTGTTTAATACACTTATGCTTTTAAAGTTAACATTAGGCTAAAACCTGGATTTAATGTCTCTTCCAGGAAACTCTGTTGAAAAATATAGTTTATTGAAACATATTGCTATTTTTTTCTGTGAGCAAATATTGTTTTAATTACAATAATAATTGATTGGATCATATCAGTGTAGAAAACTTTCAAATGAAACTATGACAAGTCTTTTGAGAAAATAAATATACTATTGATAAAAATGTCATAACAGAATGGCCTTTTCTATAATAGGACATATTATGCTAAAGTATGACTACAAATTTATTTTAAAAATTAAGATAATTTAACATCATATTATCAGTTTTGACTTAAACACATTTTAAATATGATTACTGTGTACTTTTGGTTATGTAATTATAGTTAGCCAGCTCTATGATTAAAATAAATATTGGGCATAGTTGTCAAAATAAAAAAGACTTTTTAAATGAAATAATTGTGTTAAGGCGTTCTTTTGGGTTGAAGGTAGGTGGATTTCTAATGAAAGGAGGAAGTTAAAGAGCATATAACTTTTGAATTAGAAGATGGGAAGTAAGTGATTTAGCCTCAAAATTGCTCTTTATAATTTCTAAGTGTTTGGAAATGTTATCTCTTAAAGCCAGAACTATTTCAAACAAAAGCTCATTCACAATGACATAATGAAGAAAGCGTTTCATAAGTATTAGCTGTACTCTTTTCACTGTTAGTAATTTGAATATCGCCAGTGGCGTTGGCAGAAAATACCGGCAGCAATAAATTGTTTTATCAAATCACATTTTGAAATTAGAAAGGGGTTGTAAACATGAGTTCAAACCCCATGTGCTTAAGTATAGTTAAGATTTTAAAAATATTTATCTTGTTTGTTTCTTAAGACACAAGGTCTTGCTCTGTTGTCCGGGCTGGAATGCAGCTGTGATTTAAGCAATTATAGCTTACTGCAGCTTCAAACTCCTGGGCTCAAGTGAATCTCCTGCCTCAGCCTCCTGAGTGATTAGGACCACAGGTGTCTGCCACCAGGCCCAGCTAATTTTTTTAATCTTTTTTTTTTTTTTAATTTTAGCAATGGGGTCTCACTATGTTGCCTAGGTTCATCTTGAACTCCTGTCCTCAAGTGATCCTCCTGCTGTGGCCTCCCAAAGTAGTGGGTTTACAAGCACGAGTTGCAGAGCTTGGCCCTCTAAAATGTAATATATATCTTATGCATTAATATGAAAAGGAATAAGTGAGAGCCAAGAGTCTAATCTGAAATCTCTGAAACTCTATAAACCTATTTAATATATTCTATTAAAAATATCCATAACACAGGGAGGAAATTCATATGTGGCAGCAGAATGATTCCAAGCAAAATGTTACATATTCTTTGCTCTGTTTATTTTTATATAGGCCATTACAAAATAGTAGGTTTGGAAAGAACTAAGGGAGATTCATTGATTTATCACGCATAGAGACAGCATCAGCTGGCTTGCATGTCATCCTAGTGTTTTTGGTTTTATTTGTTTGTTGTTTTATTTGTTGTGCCACTGGGTATATGGAGGTGATAGATCCAACTCTGTGAAATCAAGAAATTCATTATTCAATTTGCATTTGAGGAAATAGATATCCCATTATAAACAACAACAGCAATAACAAACACAGTAGAACAAATGAAGAATTACTCAATAAAGGCATCAAAAAATTCACCTCATAAGATTTGAGATGAGGAAAGATTGTCAGAACATTTGATTGTCCATGTGGCCTCAACTTATGGCTAATAGTGATGGATAATTTGTTAATTATTTGTAAGATTTGGTCTTATCAATATCTGGTGTACTCCAAGTAGTGGTGGACATCAGTAGTGTAACTAATACTGATTAATCAGTGAAGCCACTGGAACTGTACACGTGAATGTTGTGTTTTGACAGTATTGTTTCTTTCTTTCTTTAGACCAGTGTTTCCTACTGGGGATGGTTTTGCTCCAAGGAGACATTTGTCAGCTCTGGAGATGTATTTGATTGTCCTGAATGAATATGAGGGGTTTACTGTGGGACTCTAGTGAGTAGAGGTCAGGAATGTGCATCCTACAATGCACACAACAGCTCTCACAACAAGACTAATGTAGCCACAAATGTCAGGAATGTCAAGTTTGAGAAACTGTTCTAGACAGAGATCCAAAATCATGTGATAATTAGAATGTAGTTTTCTGAGGTAGGAGCAAAGTAGTGACTCTTAAATTGGTAATTTTAAGGAAGATCTTAAGATGTGCCTTCCAGCTTCATTAGTTTCAGGTACTTTTCTTCTTTTTAAGGACAACCTTGCAAAGAAGACCTGTATGTCTGAGTAGGATCGTTTGGCCTTGGCTTCCTTTCTTGTGGGTATTGCTGAGTATAAGATAAAAGTGTAACCCAGTTTTCTTATAATTTTTGGAGAATACTTCTGATTGAGACTTTTTTGTTCAGATAAGTTAGTATCACTTACTTGGCTATTGCCAACTTTGTTTTGACTAGGAAGCAATTGTTGTTTTTTAAGATAGAGAATAACTGATGGCTACTAGCAACTTCATCCAGCATGATTGCTTTCAATGGTGCATTGTCCTTATGAATAATTGTATTTTATCATTATTTGCTTGGGCATCTCCTTCTCTTTGATGCAGCAGTTACCACTCCCTGTTGCCAGATACCTTCATATTTATCTTATTTTTATTACCCACTATGAAAATATTTAGATACTTATATCCGCAATATTTATTTTAAAAATAATAATTATGTTTAGGTAATTTCCAATTCAGTCATCAAAATAGGATGTAGCATTGATGTACATTCAGGGAAA